AAACACATCTTACTCATTCTCACACATGGTTGAGAGGTCTAAGATCAATACACTCCACACACAAAATCAACATAGGGCTGGGTGACCTAAGCTAATCAAAGGCTCTGTCTAAGGAGACATTCGACTCTACAGAAACCTTCTTAAAGACAAGACCACCAAAGATTCCATCAGCCCCTATCACTGGATGGTCACTAAATTAAAGGACAATCAGAACCAGAAGGACACCAGATTAAAACAATGGAAACACAGACAATGTTAAAAGGCGACTCCCAACTCAGATTCACTATAATGACCAAACTCAGAGAAGAGATGAGCAAACACAGCTCTCCTCTCTCAGGGGAGAGGTGGGGGTCTATGGATACAAAATGCTGCATACCTCTCCCCATCAAACAGAGCTTCTGTAAAAGCTGACTTGTCTTAGCTGCTATTCTTCTTTGTCACAAAGTCATTCACAGCTCCTGGAACTTCTGCTTTCTGCTCGTAGGCCTTTAGGCAAGTCCATTAATCTGTCTCTATCTCAGCTTCGTCATCTATCAAAGTAGAGCCTTTGGACCAGATGACCTCTGAGGTCCCTTTCAGCTATAAATCTTGAATCCTAACTTTAAAAAATGTCAGGGACCTATCCTTGTGAGTGGTCTTTACGACCATTTTTATTTACTCAAAAATATAGCTGAACCAAGTCAGCATTGGCCACTTACAATTTGTATGTAAATTGTTCATGCTGTAATTAAGTAAGTAATAGAATCCAGAAGAAACGGAATAAGGGATCCATCAGTGCATCCCTCATTGATTGGTGGAGTTTTGAGGAATTAAAATGTCTGCTTTATTGTACAATTGTACTTCATTACCATGTTCTCCTTGAAAATAAAGTAATAACAACTAACTGCTTTAGCAATGATGGAAAAGCTTTCTCAGCTTTAAAGAAACTCTTTATTCGCTACTGAAATTTTTATTATTTCTAAATGGTGGCATACGCAAAACTTCATTATGTTCACTCTGAGGAAAACTTTAGTAGTTTGGAAAATCTGGCCCTCAAGTACAATTGCCGCACTCTGAATTGGTGTTGTTAAATTTCAGTTTGCTGTTTTTCTTTTCTTTGAAAGTGGGTTGAAAAGAGAAGCAGAAAGCTCTATGTCCCAAAAGCACTTCTACAACTAAACAGAATGAACTATGACCTTGGCCCACCATCCACATTCTCTGCAACAAGGCCAGTGGTTGAACAAAAGTCACTGGTGATTTCTAGGCCTTGCATCCACATTAGCTAGATTTAGTTTATAGGTAAGAATTTAGTACAGGAAATTAGAAAGCCCTGTGGGCAGGTACATATTCTAGGCAATGCTTGCACATTCCTGGGGTCATAATGTAGCAACAACCCTTGCATTAACATTAAAAGTCTTTGTTTCATGGATCAAAGAAAGAAAAGAAATGGAATAATGATTTGCATCCTCACTGGCAACGAAAATACCAAATCTGAATTCATAAACACTTCAGAGCTGGGATGGCGCCTTGAGGAAGCAGAAATGGTTCTTAAGAGGAAGATGAATGGGGAGATGTACCTGACCAAGTACACACAAGAAAAATCCATGTAGGTGAAAGCATTGGTATGAACATTATTTTGAAGATAATTTGAAGAAAAGATTCCCCCCCAAAATGGAAAAGATCATGGATGACAGTATGAGAGAAAGGGAGAGAGAGGAGAGAGAGAGAGAGGAGAGAGAGAGAGAGAGAGAGAGAGAGAGAGAGAGAGAGAGAGAAGAAAGGAGGGAGTGAGGGAGGGAAGGAAGGAAGGTAGGGAGGAAGGAAGGAAGGAAGGAAGGAAGGAAGGAAGGAAGGAAGGAAGGAAGGAAGGAAGGAAGGAAGGAAGGAAGGAGAGTGAAAGGTCAAAGAGACATCAGCAACTATTAACAGGCCTATTCTTACCAGATGTCGTGAAGAGTAGTGAGAGACACGTCTTCTAGCGTAGTGGTGGCTGGGAGGTGGAAGGAACTTTGAGGACCAGTAATCACTAATTTCACATACACTTCCAGCATGGTTGGTGAAATTACAGACTATAAAGAGCTATTACCAGAGATCACAACGTGTCCCCAGTCCTAAAGGAATTGTACCACCCCTCCTTACACTTTAATGAAGTGTGAAATTCTTTGAAAAAACTTGATAGATTTGACTGGCCTAATGATTAGATATGGCAGTGGCCCAGTAAGAAGCAAAGAACATGCTCTAGTGAGTCAATCAAGGTATAAGTCAGGAGGAGTTTTTTGAGTTGAAAATGGATTCTATACATTTCAGGTCCAGCTGCAGAAAGGAACATGCCCAGGGAGCCCATTATAACTCCACAAATGGAGTGCAAGACACATGAATTATTTTGGCTACGTGTTTCCAAAATGTCTCTCTACTGGCGTCCTTTATATCTGTTCTCACTCTTGCTATTAATAGTATTGGGTGGTAAGCATATACCAAGCTTATGGGAGGAATGTTTTTTAGCTTCTGTTCTTAGTATACCATTATGGACATACCTTTGCTTTGAGCTAGTTTTGTCAGCTGACTATTGTAGGTAACACACTGATGGGGGCTCACAAGTTTGAGTAACATCATCTGGGACTGCTTGAGTATGAGATGAGAGTGGGGGGGAGGAGCTCTTAGAGCGAGTGTTGCACTGGAGTTCATTTTAGAATTCTCTTCAGAGCTCCAGCTTCCCTCCCCTTGTACACACTGAAGAGTCACAAAAGGGCTTCAGAAAAATTTGACTCGAGTAACTGAAGTCTTAATTATCCACAATTTAACAAGCAGTTACAGATTTTCTCTACTTAAAAATTGATGATTAAATGGTCTAATCAGACTCCTAACTTAGCCAAAATCTTGAAAAATACAGGGAGACAAGCATGACTGACGCATTCATTTTCCTGAAGGGAAGCACAGCCCAGACACCAGCTGTAGGATGAAGAATTCCTCTTCCATCCAAAATACCCTGCAGCAAACTACAAAACAGGGACACACAGAAGACATCTCTACAAAATGCAAACTGTTTAAATACAAAATAAGGAGATGAGATGATAAAGGACAACAAGGGCCAGAACTGAAGACTGAGAACCCAGATTCAAGAGCTGGGAGGGCCTTGGTTTCATCATCTGTAAAACAAAGGGGTTGAACCCCATAAACTCTAGGTCACTTCTGGCTCCAATCTATAATCCTACAACCTAAATACAAGAGCCAATAAAGCCTTGTCCTCAAAGTCATGGAGACCCATGGCCAAGTCTTGCCTTTGACACATACCAGCCGTGTGACTGTGGGCAAGTCACTGAATTTCTTAGTACCCCTAAACAATTGTCTAGGACAGAAAAAATGGCTATTCTTCACAGGGAGATAATTTCCACACTAGATCTGGACAGGCCCCAAATATAAGATCAAATAAGAAACAAGTGAAGCTATGAGACAGGCAAATTGATATCAGAGACAAAGAATACTGAACGCAGAATCAAGTCTTGAACACAGGACCCAAATTCCACCTCCAGCACCTATTTATTTGCTGTGTGACTATGGGGAATTGGCTTCAACTCTCTAAGGCTCAGTCTCTTCATCTGTAAAACCCACCTAACAAGTGAAATTCAAATGCAATCACACCAGTCTGGCATAGAGTAGGTGCTTAATAAATGCTTGTTGATTGTTTGATGATGGTATGTGAGGCACCTTTTAAATCTAAAGGTGGCACAGACGTGTCATCAATCACTATGGTCCCTGGACCATTTCCCAGAAAGACTTGGAACTGATTTCCACCATGGGGCCTTCCTTTGCTTGCAGTTTCTGAGTCATCCGAGCTTATTTCATCTGCCCAGAGAATTCATTTAAATGTGAAATCTGCAAGTTAGACTATAAATTCCAAGTGTAGCCATTAATGCCGCATTTCAGACATCACAAACTTCGAATGACTTTAGATGGGCTGTCCTCTGCCAATTTGCTGCTTTCAATAACGCACAATAAATTCAATTAAAAAGAAAAGCATCTTAAAATTATTTGCAAGATCAACTAGGATAGCTCTTGGCTCCCTGGATGTATCATAATAAAAACTCATCTAATATGCATTACATTGTTTAATTCAGAAGGAAATTGGATCTTCTCCTGCCATCCACCATAAGGGATTGAAGCCATTTTTAAAAAGCAGAATCCACTAATGATTGTGTTAACTTTCTTGAAATATTTGAAATATTTACTAACTGTGTCTTTTCTGGAGGCAGATCCTAATAAAGGTAAGTGGGAATGGATGATCATGGCCTTCCTCCCCAAAAAGGCCTGTCCCTGGTCAGCCCCTCAGGGCTCAAGAGAACTCCCTAACCTTTCTCCCCAACCCGCCCAAAGGTAGCTTCCTAAGGTTCCTGAAATCTTATTAGGGAGTCAAAGGATTTAAATCCTGCAATAAAGCTTTTACTCACAATGACATCTTTTAAAAAAACATATCAAATCAATCTATGCCTCATTCATACGCAAGACACAAGAGTAAGAATTTATTTTTCAGTCTCAGTTCTCCAGGTTAATGCATATTTGGGTGACCTGTAATTTTGCATTTAAACATATAACGCTGCACACCACAGGGTCTTCCACATCCCTGCTACTGTCTCAGTTTAATTTATCTACTACCCACATCCATTTTTCTTTTTTAATTCTTCAAGTTCACATTTCAAAGGGGGCTAGTTAGTTCAAGGAAAGGTGGGGGGTGGGAGAGGGAATGAATGTCTCTGTGAGGATTTCAGCCATCCAAACGCGGCAGCCCAGAATGCCTATTTAGATGTCTCCCCACCCCATCTTCCTCCTTCTCCTCCTCCTTATCTATACTCTCTCCTCCTCCTCCTCCTCCTCCTCCCCTCTCTTCTCTTTTCCTCCTCCTCATCTCTCCTCTCCTCTTTCTTCCTCCTCCCTTGTCCCCCTCCCTCCCTACCTCGGAGGGAGGTGGGGAGGGGACCCTGGACTGAAGCAGCCCCCTGTGTTTGCAGGTTCCAGGTGTCACTTACCCAGTGGGGTGAGGACGGTTCATTTTTGCTCGATGCCTTGTGTACAGGAGAGAAAATATAAAACAATTGGGTGCTGCGTCAGGCGGCGGCGGTGGGGCGATGGGGAGATGGCGCTGTGTGCTAGGGGAGCCCAGACGTGACCGTGGCCGTGGCCGTGGCCGTGACCCGCACGCCTACGCTGCACCGCCGGCCAGCCCCACCTGTAGCAGAGCAGGCCAGCCTCCACTAGGCCCCCCACCGACTGCTCAGCTTGGCCCGCAGGGACTACGCTCTGGCCGCGGGCGGCTCTTCCCCTGTGCCCCGAGCGTTGCACCCAGCGCCCAGCGCTCAGCCCGCAGCAGCCTTCCGGCCCCGGGCCGGGCCCCTGGTAGCCACAGCCTTCCCGTTGCTAAGGGAGGAGGAGAGGAAGGGGCGGGGGGCCAAGGAGCTGAAGGGTAGGTGCTCATGTGACAGAGCCTTAGAGCAGCTGCAGAATAAAGGGGCCACCGGGAGCCGGAGAGAGCTGGGACCCCGAGGGGGAAGGGAGAGGGAGCAGGAAGAGGAGCCCCGCTTTTGGAGCCAGGCAAGGAGATGGAGAAAAGCGCCCCTGCCCTGGGCTCCTGGGAGCAAGTGTTCCCCCGGCACCTGCAAGCAAAACACAAACACACACCCCCTATCCCTCCTCGCGCTGAGCCGCTTCTCTGGATGCGGCCAAGGGCCAGGGGAAAAGGGGGTGCTGCTCACGGTCCGAGAGCAGAGTAGGGGGGTCTGAAGGTTCACACTTCCAGGCAGAGAGGGGGTGGGGTGGAGGACTGAAGTCAACCTGATGGAAGCAGGTACAGTGGAGGGAAAGCCATCCCCTGCTCAGGAGGGCTCATTTCTGGAGCCCCAAGGGGCAAGCCGGCGTGTGCGTCTGCCTGGAAATGGTTGACTCCTGCCCTGGAAGTTTCCCTTGCCTGACACAGGGTACCTGACCTGCTCCCAGCAGGGCCTGCCAGGATTTAGGACTTTTCTGGAGAGGAGCAAGGAAGGGGTTTGGGGAAGCTTCAGGGATCTATCTCTACCCACTCTGAGCTGAACATTGAGTTGCTGTGGTCCAGGGAGAACGGCTAGGGAGGAGAATCAGGGAATCAGTTTCTTCATTTGTCCAGTGAGGCCGTCAATTCCTTCCATGTCTCCATCATCGGATGCGCAGGAAACAGAAACTTGGGCCTGTCTTGGAGAACTTGGGCAAGTCCCTAACTCTTTGACAAAGGTCATCTTATGTGGGAAAATTGGCACACTAATGCATTGTTGGTGGAGTTGTGAAATGATCCAACCATTCTGGAGAGCAGTTTGAAACTATGCCCAAAAGGCTATAAAAATGTGCCTACCCTTTGACTCAGCAATAGCACTTCTTGGGCTGTATCCCAAAGATATCATACAAATGGGAAAAGGACCCACATGTACAAAAATATTTATAGCAGCCCTTTTTGTGGTGGCAAAGAATTGGAAATCGAGAGGATGCCCATTGATTGAGGAATAGCTGAACAGTTGTGGTATATGAATGTAATGGAATGCTGTTGTGCTATAAGAAATGATGAGCTGACTTCAGAAAAATCTGGAAAGACTTGTGGTCTGATGCTGAGTGAAAGGAGCAGAACCAGGAGAATGTTGTACATAGTAACAGCTACATTGTGCTATGACTGATATTGATAGACTTAACCCTTCTCAGCAATACAAGAATCTAAGACATCTCCAAATGCCTCATGATAGAAAATGCTATCCACAGAGAAGAAAGAACTAGGGAGTTTGAATGCAGATTGAAGCATACTATTTGCTATTTTTTTTCTTCTGTTGTGTTTTGTTTCCTCTTTCTGGTGGTTCCTCCTATTGGTTCTGATTCTTACCTACAACATCACTAATGTGAAAATATGTTTAATAGGAATATATATGTATAGTATATATCAGATTGTGTGCCATCTTAGGGAGGAAGGTGGGGAGGGAGAGGGGGAGAAACTTAAAACTCAAAAACTTATGGAAGTGATTGTTGATGATTGAAAATAAATTAATTAAAAATTAAAAAAAAAATAAAGCAGCATGACAGTGAAAAAAAAAATCATCTTACCTGTAAAGTGAGATGCTGATCTCTGAGGGGCCTTCCCAATTTAATACTAACTCTGTTACCCATCCACCCCACCCCTTAATTCTCTCATACTAGATCTCTCCTCTTCTCATCATTGAACTAACAAAAAAATTATAAGGGTAGCCTATACTCTCACTGTGTCTTCACCACCTATTCGCTCACCCTTAACCTCCTCCAATATGTCTTCCTTCCCTGTCTCTCTGCTGAACTGCTCTCTGAGGTTCCCAATGGCCTCTTAGTGTACAGGCCCGTTTTTTAAAAATAAAGATATTAAGGATACATTTTTAAAACATAGGTGCCACCTCCAGGAGGGAGAGAAGGAAGGAAAAAGGAAAGAAGGAAGGAAGAAAGGAAAGAAGTGAGGGAGGGAGGGCAGAGCAAAGAAGGAAGGAAGGAAGGAAGGAAGGAAGGAAGGAAGGAAGGAAGGAAGGGAGGAAGGGAGGGAGAGAAGAAGGAAGGAAAAGAGGTAAGAAGGAAGGAAGGAGGGAGAAAAAAAGAGTTTATTGTTTATTGCATGCCAAACAGGTGAGGATATAAATACAAAAGTAATGTGGGCCCTGCCCTCAAAGAGATTACATTTTGATGGGGAATATGGTGACTAGGAAGGAGAAGCCCTGCAAAGTCAGGGAGACAATGAGCTGATCTGTGGGGCAGTCAGTTGACATGCCCTCTCCAGGAACAACAGCAGTATCAATCTGCCTGCTGTGCCCAGTGCCAGAGGTGGAAGCAGGAGAAGAGGAGGGTGAGCTGCCACCAGCCAGCAGGAAGTGTAGTGAATCCTCCAGGATGGACATGGATGAGATGTGAAGGATGGCCTGGCTGCTCCAGGGCCTGGGGCCAGCTAGATGCAGGGCAAGGAGCTACTTGCCTTTGAATTTAGCCCCTCATCAGTCAAGGCAGCTCAGCCCCAGATTATGGTTCTAGTATCTTTCAAAGTTGCTTTTCTTTACATGATTGTGGTGGTGTGGTTTTTCTCTTGGTTCTGTTTTGATCAGTTCATAGAGGGCCTTCCAGGTTTCCCTTAATTAATTCTATTAGTTTTTTCCTAATCAACCAGTAAACAAGTATTTACCAAGTATCCGTTATGTGCCAGGCCTTGCATCAAGTTATAAGAATGCAAAGACAAAAGGAAACAGGTTCTACCCTCGGGGAGCTTCCATTCAGTCGTGGGAAATAACACAGACACATAGAAGTGAACACAAAGTAAATGTGTAGTCACTGGACCAGGCACTGACATCGGAGAGATGAGCAAAGCTTTGCTGGAGGAGTCTGGAAGGAAGCTGGGGATGTCTGGGGCCTTCTGTTGCGGGGGGGGGGGCGCATTACGGGTGGAACTCAGAGCATAACATTTCAGTGCATTCAGACCACACCAAGTAATCACCTGATCCCGGCTGAAAGGCATCCACACGCCTGGAATGCCCTCCTTCCTTCCCTCGAATCCAGGAAAGTCCCTCTCTTCCCTGAAAACTCACCCCAAGCACCATCTTCTTCATGAAGCTTCTCCTGACCCCCACCTTTCAAGCTTCCTGTGCCTGCCCACCCTCCCTCTGCCTGCATTTTTAACTACCTGGTTTGTGGTTGCTTTAACTCAATTTGGATGGATGTTGTATACATTTATTTACGTACTGGTTGCCTCCCTCATTAGATCTGACATTGATGTAAGTAGGAACCACTACATTCTTTGTCCTTGGGTCCCCAGCACACATCACAGTGCCTGGCACCTAGCAGGTGCTGGAGACGTGTTGACTGATAATTTTGTTACCATGAAACGTTGCTACAAATTTGTAGCAGGAGGTGGGAATGAAACATTTCCCTTCGGGCAAGGTGTGGCTTTGACTAAGTCAAGGCAATTATGAAGCATTTGCTGGCTGCCAGGCACTGGGTTAAGGGCAGCCCCTGCCCTCATGGAGCTTATAGTCTAATGGGAGAGACAAAATGCTAACAAGATAGATATGGCAATGTGGAGCTAATCTACAGAGGGAAGGTGTTAAGAGGAATTGAGAAAGGCTGTTTGTAGAAGGTGGGATTTTGAATGGGTTGGGAGGGAATCCAGGGAAGTCAGAAGGTGGAGATGAGGACAGAGAGCATTGGACACATGGGTTAGCCAGAGAGAATGTCCTGAGCCAAGAGGTCTTATTCATGGAGCAGCCAGAAGTCCAGTGTCACTGGATGTATGAGGATGTATGAGAGTATGGAGGAGAAGAAGGGAAGGACAAAGTGCTAGAAAACTGGAAATGTAGAGAGATAGGAAGGGACCAGGTTATGAGGGCTTTAAATGCCAAACAGATTTTATATTTGCTCCTGGAGCTGCTAGGGTTAATTGACTGTGTGGTCATATCTGAACTTTAAGAAGATCAATTTGACAGCTTTGGGGAGGATGGACTGGAGTGGGGAGAAACTGAGGCAGGCAGACCCCACTTCAGCAGCTATTGCAGTTGACCAGGCATGAGAGGAGGAGGGTCTGCACCAGGATGGGGGCACAGGTAGAGGCAGAGGAGAGAAGGTATTGGGGAGATGTTACAAAGGCAGAAGCTACAAGGCTTAGCAGCTGGGGTATGAGGGGGTGAGAGAGGGTTGAGCATGATTGGTTGAGAGCCTGGGTGACTGGGGAGATGGTGGTGTCCTGGCCTAGTCATAGAAAAGTTAGTCAGACAGGAGGGGTTGGGGGTGGGGGAGATAATGAATTTAGTCTGAGGCATGTTGAGGTCGAGATGTCCTTGTCTTCCTTGACCTTTCTTTAGCACTTGACTCTGCTGGTCAGTGCCAACAGCAGCACTCATGCTCCCTCTTCCCTTGGCCTCTGGGACAGATCCCTTTCCCCTGCTTCTCCCTTCTCAGACTCATTCAGTTCATCTTCCTCCTCCTTGCCTCTAAAGGAGCACATCTTCCTCAGTTCACACACTTAGTGAAGGTCAGAAGCAGGTCTGGAACCTCAGTCTTCTGACCATAGAACCAGGGGGCTCTCTCTTTGTGGTAGTCCATTGCCTCTCCATCCCTCTTTGGCCTTCGTCTCCCCTATTTGCAATCATTTCTCCAGGTCTGTCATTGCTATAAGGACAGTATTATCTCTTACATCTCTTCCCTCTTTTCTATCCTTTCCTGCCCAGTTCAGACCCTATCTGAACTAGAACCTAGTTCTATCACCTAGAATCAGCTTGTAATCACCTCTGAATGTTTCTCCCCTCTCCACCCTCTCCTTCACCCAGCTGCCATAAAATATTCCTAATGTAGAGGTTTGATTGCCTTAACCCTCAGACCAGCTGCTCAGGCATTAATG